AGGAAGTCCAATATCGTCGTCGTTGTCGAAGATGTGAAAAAAGTTTTATTCATAAGTTTCAAGGTTTATAAAGGGGCGTACCCTAAAATATTTTGTTATATACAGGGTGTCACAAAAAAGTTATGGTAAAGTTAGTTTTATTTTTTGTAAATTGCCTAACCAACTGCACCTCCCCCCCCATTTTTCTGTAGATAATCGGATTCGGCATCAAATTCTGCATATAGTACACAATTTTTATTTGAATCATTCTACAGTGTTGCCATTCTATTACTTATTTACTAAAACTTCGGTTAAAAACGTTATATCCGAAAAGTTGTAAAAAACTAGAGTGAATATAACTATCTTTATTAACACTTGGCTGTAATAAAGCCAAGTGTTAATAAAGAAAATAGAAAATATAGCGAAGTGTTTGTATATGCTATATTTTCCTAAAAGTAAAAGTAAAGATTTCAGTTAACGTCTCCTTTTTGCTGCCAGGGCTAATCTGGACGGGGCCTACTTTGTTTACGCGAAATCCGAACCGCGGTCCTCCGTCATATCATGGTCAATGGCCTACCGACTTAGGAAGTGTCTAAATCAACTCTTACTCACGAAATATCCGATCTCATCCGGCCACGAACCGACGTGAATGAGCAGTGTGTATCAATAGATTTTACACTTTTCCTTTGGACAACAGCACGATACAGAGTTTCGAACCCGTCCATCTACCAGTATGGCCTTACGTCGCTTAACTTCGGTGTTCTAATGGGAACCGAGGTTTCAACGTAGCTAGGCCGTTGCCTTTATTTTCCTAAACAAGGATAACAAATCCGTGTAGAAAAATTTACATTATTCTATATAGGGTATTTTTTATGGCGTCACCAAAATGGGAATATTTAAAATGGTATATCTCAATTTTTTTAAATGCAACATTCTGTATATTATTTTTCTGTCAGATGCAGAATTAAAAAGTGAACATTTTTTTATGTAAAGTGTTTCTAAATTTTTAACGGTTTCGCAGATATTCGCAGTATTATTTTACATATGGCTCTTTCAACAGTAAATGCTTATCAAAGCCACCTAATATGATCTTTGTCTAACATTTTATCGTTGAAAATCCCATATGTAATGAAATACAGAAAATATTTGCAAAACGGCTAAAAATTTAAGAACACTTTAAATACAACAAATGTTCACTTTTTAATTCTACATCTGAAAGAAAAATAATATACAAGGTGTTGCTTTAAAAAAAAATGAGATACAACATTATAAATATTACGATTTTGGTGACGCCATAAAAAATAACATGTATATGATAAAGTAAATTTTTCTACACGAATTTATTCTGGTATCCTTCATGCTTAAGAAAACATAGCTAAGTATTAATAAAGTTATATTCACTATAGTTTTTTACCACTTTTCGTATATAATGTTTTTAACCAAAATTTTAGTAAATAAGAAATAGAATGGCAACACCGCAGTGTGCTTTAAATAAAAACAGAGTGCTATATGCAGAATTTTGTGCCGAATCCAGTTATCTACAGAAAATTAAACTTATTTTAAATAAAAAAAAGTTGTACAAAATCTCTGAAATAGATAATAATATAAAAATATGTCATTATATATTTTTTCCGCATTTCCTCCCGTCAGAAGATTCTCAGATACAGAAGAATTGTTAATAATAATAATAGCTCCCATATATAGCATTTAACGCCTTGGGAGTAGCAAGGTACAGCTTGCTATACTAGAGCCGTTCGGTATACAAGGAATACACAAGGAATATACAGAAGAATTGTTACCTACACGAAATGTGAAAATATTCTGTTTTCAAGCAAGTTTTTACTCGATAATCAATTTTTTTTTATTTTATTTTATTGTGAACTCATATTTTCCTAAATACATATCTGCGAAACTATGGCGAGTGCCACGACTATACTTTGCCTAGTTAATAGACCACGACTATACAGCTACGTCAGTGGTCACGAGAGGCGAGAACAAGGTCATATAAAGTGGCAGAAAAAGAACGAATGTTTGACAAGGAGTAAAGCTACTAGTTTCCTTATACTATGGTATTAATCGATGGCAATATTCTAGGCTCATTTACTGGTGAATCTATCTATCAAATTAAAAAGATTAAACCCTACTCGATGGGCTGGAAGAGCTGTTTCGCCCTTAGCTCTTAAACTAAGATACATAGATGTAATTAAAGCACTTACAAAAATAAATTTAACCACAAGAATAAAAGATGAAAGAGACGAATCAAGAAGGTTATTGAAATCTATTGAAAAGTTCAAATTTATTTTTATTTTAATTATTTGTTCAAAAATCTTTCAATAAACCAACCTAGTATCCCAAGTCTTACAGAAAGAGAATTAGACTTACTAAAAGCATCTGATTGTCTTAAGTTGTATGCCAAAAATCTTAAAGAATATAGAAATAATTATATAAATTTAAAGAATGAAGCAATTGGTATATCAAGGTCATGGAATATAAACCCGGAAATGAAGATAAAAGACAATTAAAACCAAAAAACACTTTGATGAATTCAATACATATTATGTATATTCTTTCTTTAGTCGAGAAAACTATTTTAGGGTTAATATATCTTACAAAATATTTGATATTGTAATTAATCAAATAAGTAATCATTTTGGGGGAATGGGGTTATTTGTGAATAAATTTAGATTCCTATGTCCCCAAGTTCTGACAACTTTGTCTGAAAAAGAATTATTTATGGCTGCAGAAACACTACAGCAGACATATTCGAGCGAGCTGTCTACGACTTTCCCTTTAGAGATAGTCGCATTGTGTATGCCGTTAAAGAAAAAAAAATGATTCTCTTCAAAATATTAAAGATTTTGCTGTGTTCTTAATTGTGGAATGTAACACCTTAGCGTCAAATTTTCCAGAGGTAACAACAGCCTTATTATTATTTCTAACTCTTCCAGTGAGTGACTACAGCGGAAGGATCATTTTTTCAATTGAAAATCATCAAAAATTATTTACGAAATAGTTCCTCTTATACAAGGTTAATTAACTTGGCTATACGGTCCATAGAGGCACAAAAGGCGGCCAAAATGGATAATACCCAGATAATAAAAAATTTTGCGGAGGCAAAAGCTAGAATAAAAAACAATTTACCGCCCGAAATAACGACTTAAGAAATTCAAGTTTTTGTCACTTAATTTTAAATATTTTAGTTTATAAGTCACTGTTGTTTATCAGTTCCTAGTATGATAGTATAGCTACCTTAGCTACTTGAAGAATTTGTTAGTTTTTATTTTGTTTTAGTCTTAAAGGATTTTTTTTTATTTTGTTTCTTTTTCGGTAGATTAGCAAACCTTTGCTAATTTTGTTTTGCTAAAATTGCTTTAGTTTTGAACAGTATTTTTTTATTTTGTTTTTGTTCCTTATTATTGTTCGCTACTTAGGCGTACTAGGTGCCTGAACATTTTTTAGTTTTTGTTCCTTCTAGTTTCAAAGAATATTTTTGGTCTTGTTCTTTGTTCGAAAATAATGTTTTTTGTATTGTAACGTTCTTCGCACATTCTGTATTATATTTTTTTGTTTTTATATGCATTAATATTTCAAAATTTATAAAGCACTCTGTTACGTACTTTATAGGATTTTTAGTAGATATACAATTTTTTACAATATATGAGAAAGAGGTTGCTAAAATGCACTTAAATTATCTTTAGGCTTATAAATAAAATATGATCGAAAAAAAAAATGAAATGAAGGTCGCTGTCATTTTATATAATATAAATTATATGGGGAAGATCATCGTTGTTCATTTCCAAGCCATTTGGACGCCGTTTTTTTCGATCATACAGTATTAGTTGTTACGGTTCAAAATTTCACCGTAACTTATTTTACTTATTTTGCTTATTTTTAGGAATTAAACTAAAACTTACTTGAATAACTTGAATAATAACGTTTAATTAGCTTACTTCTTAACTGTACATATAATTTCTAATAATATCTTATCTATAAGTCTCATCATCACAACAATTTCTTTGAATGGAGTTGTCTCCGATAAAACCTCATTAATATAATATCAATTTGGCTGTTTAAAATCTACCTTTCTTTCTACAGTGGTTACTAATTCTTTATTTAGACTTATGCTTGTGTTAGGATAATTTCTTGGCATATTTCTTCGGAGGATTCTTGAACATAGACTTGATGTGATTATCTATTGTCTGTTTTCAACGCAACAAGTGGGAATGTTGGGTCTGCAACATACATATGGGTTAAGGATTTTATTATGTATTTTTCCTGTGTGTAATCAATTGGTTTTACCTGATTATAGTTGATTTTTCCCTATATTTCATCTTGTTTATATTACGATTTGCAGACTGACGTTTCAATAGGGAACTTGCCCAAAAAATAAAATAATTTAAAAACCATTAAAATCGAAAGATATTATCATAAGGAAAGAGATCATCTAGAAAGATCATCTTCCTAGAAAAAGAAAAATTCCAATAACAATTAAATTACCTGAGAAATAAAGGTTTAAAATTTGAATAATTTTAACTGCTCTTAAAACGCGCCGCCATTGGTTGTGATCCGGGGACCGTGAAACTACCCGTAAAACAATCAATATTCGACCGTTGAACGTGGTTTTTGCTTGTTTTCGGAGAAAGTTTTGTTGAATTTTCCTTGATTTCGTGATTTGTGATTATATTAAAGATTTTATTATATATATTATAGGGTTAAGATTTATTATATATATATGATAGGGTTTTATAAAGGGACAATCAGACAATTTACCCAGAGTTGATATGTTTATGACTGTATCATACATTCAACATTAGGAGGATTTTTCTCAAGCTGAAGTTCGTGGTGTAAAAGCTCGCAAGTAAGTATAAATCTCGGTATAAATACCTACTAATGTATCGCTGTTCTTATATTCTTTTTTAAAGCCTACTAAATTTCACAACTTGACATAACCTCACTAAGAAGTCTTATGTATTAAAAATTGATAACAACAACTATATTAAGTATTTAGAACACTGTTTAGAATGAGCTTTATAAGCACCAGTAGTCCAGTGCTGATTTATGTTCATTTAACCTACCCACATAGGTACAAATTCCATTTTTGTATTCTTTAAAAAATATCAATAAGCAAGAAAGTGGATTAGAAAATATTTACCCGATAATTTCTTATATTAGCTAGGTACTTATTTATGATTTATTTATTTTATTTTAGATCTGGAAGAGATCCCTATGGAGATTCTGCGGTAGGGTGGGTTCAAGTCCAAAGAATCCAAAATATTTGCACGGTGAAGGCTAAAATAACACCAGAACATAATGTAAAAAAGAAGCAGTATGCAGTAACTTGCGTCATTAATGAGATTGCTGAGAAGGTTTTGGACCTTCAGTGTCATGATTGTGCTGCTTCATTAGGTGAGTGTTTATTAAGTACCTATACACTATGGTCTGTTGGGATCAATTTCTATTTATTGCATGCATTTTTTTACTTTTTGCCTTTTTATTAAGAAATAATATAAACTCCTCTCAACATATTTTTTGTTTTATAATAAACCATGTTTTTTATAAAATTTTAGGTGGATGTAAACATGTCATTGCCTTTTTAATGTGGCTTCATAGAAGAAGCGAGGAGCCCTCTCCGACAGAAGTGGCTTGCTGCTGGGCCAAGAGCAAGTTATCCAAAGTTGGGAGCTCAATAAAGTTTTTAACTCTTCGGGATCTTGGAGCTGAAGAGGAACTGAGTTTTGACGACGAAGGCTTACTTTTTCTCCAAGAAGTTGTTAAGAAAGGTACAGAAAATACTTCGAACAGTCAGCTTTTGAAGTATTTTGTCCTTAACGGCATCAACGAACACCTGGGGCTATATCAACTTCTATTGAAATTTGTTGAAAGTCCAAGAGGGACACAGGAGGGACATCTGATTGCACAGAATTTCTTAATTTCTGCTCCCAGCAAATGACCGTCGATCTGTGCTCTGAAGCTGCAATCAAGACCACGGAGCAGTCTGCATCTAGTCTTTGGTTTGACTTACGATTTGGGAGAATTACTGCATCAAAAATATATGATGCAGCCCATTGTAAAAAGAGTGATGGTTCTTTTGTAAATCAGATACTTGGTGTTACAAAAGTTCCAGTAACCGAAGCCATGTTACGAGGGAGAAAATTGGAAGAAGAAGTATTGAAAGGGGCAGAACAAAAACTAAATGTAAAGTTTGAGAGAGTAGGACTGCAGCTAAAGCCAAGATATCCTATATTTGGAGCCTCCCCTGATGCACTAACAGATGATTATGTGGTGGAAATTAAATGTCCACAATCTGAAAAAAATATCTGTAACTACCTTACAAAAAACAAGGAAATAACTGCAAAAAACAAGGAAATAACTGCAAAATACAAAGGCCAAGTACAGTTACAGATGTTTTTTTTTTGATAAAAAGAGACCTTTATTTTGTGTTGCCGACCCTAATTTTGAGGAAAATGGTAAATTTGAACAAATTTGGGTAGAATATGATGAGGAATATGTAGAAATGTTGATGGATGCAGCAGAATGTTTTTGGCGCCACAATATATTTCCTCATCTATTAAATTCTGCCAAAATGTAAATTTTAATATTTTATAGTGTCAAGTATTACATCTTATTATTTTAGATTATTTTTAAATTTATTGGCTGACGTAGATAGAATTTAAGAAAAAACTGTAACATTAAAATTACAATTTTATATGTATTTAGGTTTTATTAGGTAGCTAATAATTTTGCTTTGTTTAAATACATAATAAAACAATAAAAACAATTCAAAAGTTTATTTGATTATGTAATTACTGAAACAAAAAAAAATATCATACACCAGTCAATATCCTAAAATACTATTTTTATTGTTTGCTTGAAAAAAAATGCATAAAAAAGTGTTCAACTTTATAAAAAAATTATTTTCCTGTAATTATGCCTGATTATAAGTTAATTAAGCCACAAGCCACATACAATTTTGATTATACTATCTGTATATAATAATAATTTATTGTCGATGCAGGCATGAGGTGCTAAAAATGAAAATTCTCTTAACCTACGAATAACTCGTTCCACGTGTATCCTTAAACTTGCTATTCTTTTTGTTGCGAGAACTTCATCTCTACTGGGTTTTGTACCAGTAGAAACACTTGGGGGCCTAACTATAACACAGCCTTTAGCCACTAATAAATGTTCAATGTGTTTAAATCCTCGGTCAGCCATAACACTCACATTAGGTGGTAAAGTTTCTAAAAACCCACTATGTTCCACAATAACTGCATCTGAGGTTCGACCCCCAAAACCTCCGGAAACAAAATTTATGATACCGTCTGGTGTACAAGAAATTAAATATTTGAAAGTATTGCACTTCTTATACTCTGACCACGTTAATGACTGGTTTAGTGCACTTGACGGGTTTTCTATTTCTAAGCAATCTATTATACAATAAACATTACTATACCGAGCTCGAAAGGCAAGTGGCAAATTTTACTTTACAAAAGAAATTTCAGGCTTGGTAATAAGTTTTCTTAAAAATTTATTAATAATTGGTAAAGATTTAGCAAATATTTTAGAAGCATTACCCTCGCTTCTCCCAAAGTCATCTCCTAAGCATACAAATGTACTTCCGGGTCTAATTTTTTTTAAAGTTAAAAATATATATGTACATAGATTCTATTTTACAGTATTTTTCAAGCAAATGGACTACATAATAAGCATCATCAGGTAATCCCAAGTATAACCTAGGCCTATTTTCCAACTTCATTATTGTAGAGCTTAAACATATACTCTTAAATGAATTTTTCTTTTCATCAGAAAGTTCTTCACTCACTTCACTATGACTACTACGAGCTTCACTAACAACCAAAAAGTCACTGTCACTATCATCTTCATTGAAACGATTTTCGCTACTTTTTACACTAAAGGGACTGTCATAAATATTTTTTAGGAGATTGGTTTCTTGTTTTTTCGTGATATCTTTATTATAAATTTTAATTGGAGACAAGCTAACGTTAACTCCCAAATTTATTTTGCACTGCACTGCTTTGCTTCTAAACATTACACGTCGGTGGGCTTGTACGGAAACATCCCTTTTTAATGGAATACTTGTTTGTGGTAAAGTAGCATCAACACTTTCCAGGTCCATGGCCATGTCAGTTATTGGTTGGGGGTCGCTTTGAGGACTGACACTTGTTTGTAATATTCCTGGTATAGTTGTGGTAGAACAGGTAGCTACTGCTTCGTCAACAAGTCTTCTCTTTATCCTATTAACAGCTGCTGATCTTGGAGGAACTGAAAATGTTCTTTTTCTGTCTGGCTGGCAATCAAAAATGTGAGGAACTACATGAGATTTCATTATTTTTTTACCACCCATCAGTTTAAATTTTACATATTTATCCATATCTTCCGCAATCTGAAACAAAAACATAATCAAATATTTATTAAAATCATGGGTAGCTAAGAAATATTTTTACTAGATAGGTAGGTACCTATAGTACCTATATTTAAATAAAATTAGTGGATATTTTTTATATTTAAGTAGGTATATAGGTAATAGAAGATTACAGCTTTACTGGTAAACTAACAAGTTTATCTAACCCTAATATTTATATTTTAGGTATTTATATATATTATATATATTATATATATTTTACATTGAAATGATCTTCACAAACGCGAATGTGTGTGGTCTTCGTAGAATAATCCCCTACATATCTTCTGCATGCTTTTAGCCATTTTATTCGTCGCTTTTTATCTTCAGGGACGCGAATGAAAATTTTATCTGGATTCTTCACAGTTGAACTCGTGCACAAAGGAACGACACAGTATTTATACCCAGTATTCCGAGTATTTTCCATAATAAATAAAAAAATTGAACAATAAACACTTAAAACTGAGGCTAACGATGCAAATTCGGCGAAAAATCAAGAGGAATAATGCTTGAAATGAGACGGTCCCTTGAAATGGCTGTTAACGTGCCGGATAGATTACCGCGGTATGACGTCACAGCGGCTGCCGCGCATCTTGCTTTGTTTGAATGTGCCGGGCGGCGATTCCAACTTTAATTATTTATTGTGAAATAAGTGTTGCGATTTAAGGGCTGATATTTGGTATAATGTGTTTTTATATATAAACACACATTTTAGTAAAATAAAAAAAAATGGGCAAGTTCCCTATTGTTTGTCAGCTGATCGTGTGACACCGGCGTTGAAGGTTGACGATCGATCTTTGTAAATTAGGTTTTCGATCTTTTTAATCGGTTTTTATATGATCGGAAAATGTATTAATAATTTTCCGAAGATATTATGTTCGTATAGGGATTATTATAATTTTATTATGATGTAATAAAATGTTTCACTCAATTCGTATGCATTAAATAAAATTTTAAGTCAAATTTTATTTTGGGTCTTTTGTTTTACTGGTTGCCAGTGTTAGATTTTGGGTTGGTATCTTGGAGTCCAGCGTCTTTTGCGGACTTTGCAAACACGCGTCCTTTTTCTTCTGCTTCGAACCGCCGTGGTAAACGCAACAGCATGTCTGATCCTGACTGACTGATAAAAACTCCATTGACGTTATTTTGGCCTTGCCTTGCCGTTCCGAATTGGGATTGATTCTTTGGAGTTGTCTGGAATTCTTTTGTGGGTCGAGAAGACTGGTTGTGCAGTTTTGGCACTAGTTGTGGGCGATTTTGGCCTATGTGTGGTTCAGAATTCCAGAGAAGCCTTGTAGAGGGATATATTCGTCAGTTGGTAAGAGACATGTACAGCTGTATAATGTTCTTTTGTACAACTATTTATTTTAGAGGACAGGATTTTACAACACGGACTGTGTGTGATGGTCGTACGAGATGAGTACGAGGACTTTTCAAGAACCCTTTTCCATGGTGTAACGTGTGGCGACGCCATTTTGTTTTGGAACGTCCACATGGTGGAAAGGTATTTTACCATGTCCAAACCAGGACATGTCACTAAAATAGATCATATTTTAGGGTTCTTTTCCTTTGCTGTACTCTTTAGAGTCGAATGATTTAGCTTAAGATTTTATTTTTTACTGGATTTGGTACTGCAACTAATGCTATTGTGACGTGAATGCCACTGTGACGTGAATGCCGCTGTGACGAGGAATGCCACTGTGACACTGAAGATCAAACACTTTTTTTTTGTGATTTTCTCATGGACTGGAATGACTACTGGATAACAGATAAGACTTTGATCATCTCTTATTTTATTGCGTTTATGATTGATTAAAATTTATTACATTTAATCTACGATCATAGGTGAACTTGGTATACCAGGGGATTTTACATTTAAATTTCATTTTATTCTATATAGTCATTTAATCATAATCACAAATACGCATCAGGGTTGTTCACAGTTTAGTCACAACAATATTTTGTGATACTATTCATGGTTTAATCTATTTTACGGATAGTTCATTTTTACTAGTATCGATGCGTTGAAAAAAATGTCTTGGGGATGCAGTCTAATAAGAAGGCCGTTAGTTCAAGCAAAAACCCTTTATTGTTTAGTCAAGCTTTCGAGAATTCAGGTGTTCTCTTCTTCAGGACTCTTCTACAATTATAGTAATTAAATACAATTTCTATTCTTGTAAAAAAATTTTAAAATGCAACTCACCAATGTGGGATTATGGTAAAGTTTACAACATTGCTCAACAATCAAAAGAATCCTCATTTCTCAAATGCAGTAGTGAAAATCAATTTTAAAATACACGTGAAAACTAACTACAAAAACTTTATAAAAAACAATACAACGTGTATGTGAGTATAGAGTCAAAGCACAAAAATTGCATATCAAAAATCTTAAAATACAATAGCAATTAATTCTGCTTAATGAACAATCTAATTTTTTTATTATAAATACTTAAAAGACAAAAGAAACGAATTAATTTTAAAGATTTTCTTTACAGTAAAGTGCGTTTCTGTTAGCACCGCCGATCGTTCACTAACGAACATCATAGTTTCAAAAAAGGTAAAATATGTTACTCTTGACAAGTAAAAAAGGATAAACTTATGCATATAATAACAAGAGTGAGAGAGAAGTGACTACTTAGAAATATTTTGACACATTGGTTCGTTTCATCAGCGAGATCGACCATGCGCAATAAACCATCAATGCTACACTAAGAAAACAGGCATTAGACAACTTGATAAATTAATTTAAGAAAAAAGAAAAAGTTTTTCCTTACATACAACCAGACTAGAAATTACTTTAGAATTGAAAAGAAAAACAAGATCTCAAAAAAGAAAGAATTGTAATACAAATTTTAGTGTAAAATAATATCTTAACATTCAAATGACATTAAGCGATGGTGAAATACAAAAAGCGATAAAAATCTTTAAAAAAAAAATTAACAATCAAACCCCACTAACATTACAGTATGAAAATATAACTATTGAGAACCTTGAGTAGCCACCTGTCGCAATGAACCATAGTTGCCACTGTACAAATCTAAAATGCAACCGTAAATGACACTAAGACTCTGGGTGTCACTTCTTTTATTCATGGTGTTAGCTTGTGAATTTATGTGAACCATTTCAAGAAAGGTTTGTGATACTATTCATGGTTTAATCTATTTTACGGATAGTTCATTTTTACTAGTATCGATGTGTTGAAAAAGATGTCTTGGGGATGCAGTCTAATAAGAAGGCCGTTAGTTCAAGGAAAAACCCTTTATTGTTTAGTCAAGCTTTCGAGAATTCAGGTGTTCTCTTCTTCAGGACTCTTCTACAATTATAGTAATTAAATACAATTTCTATTCTTGTAAAAAAAATTTTAAAATGCAACTCACCAATGTGGGATTATGGTAAAGTTTACAACATTGCTCAACAATCAAAAGAATCCTCATTTCTCAAATGCAGTAGTGAAAATCAATTTTAAAATACACGTGAAAACTAACTACAAAAACTTTATAAAAAACAATACAACGTGTATGTGAGTATAGAGTCAAAGCACAAAATTGCATATCAAAATCTTAAAATACAATAGCAATTAATTCTGCTTAATGAACGATCTAATTTTTTATTATAAATACTTAAAAGACAAAAAGAAACGAATTAATTTTAAAGATTTTCTTTACAGTAAAGTGCGTTTCTGTTAGCACCACTCGATCGTTCACTAACGAACATCATAGTTTCAAAAAAGGTAAAATATGTTACTCTTGACAAGTAAAAAAAGGATAAACTTATGCATATAATAACAAGAGTGAGAGAGAAGTGACTACTTAGAAATATTTTGACACATTGGTTCGTTTCATCAGCGAGATCGACCATGCGCAATAAACCATCAATGCTACACTGAGAAAACAGGCATTAGACAACTTGATAAATTAATTTAAGAAAAAGAAAAAGTTTTTCCTTACATAGAACCAGACTAGAAATTACTTTAGAATTGAAAAGAAAAACAAGATCTCAAAAAAGAAAGAATTGTAATACAAATTTTAGTGTAAAATAATATCTTAACATTCAAATGACATTAAGCGATGGTGAAATACAAAAGCGATAAAATCTTAAAAAAATTAACAATCAAACCCCCACTAACATTACAGTATGAAAATATAACTATTGAGAACCTTGAGTAGCCACCTGTCGCAATGAACCATAGTTGCCACTGTACAAATCTAAAATGCAACCGTAAATGACACTAAGACTCTGGGTGTCACTTCTTTTATTCATGGTGTTAGCTTGTGAATTTATGTGAACCATTTCAAGAAAGGTTCTTTTACAAAATGAGTCAGCTCTATCCATAATCTCAGCACCATCCCAGTCTATCCTGTGGTCTAAATTGTTAACATGTTCTGACAATGCACATGACAAAACGCCCCTTCTACAATCACTTTTATGAGATGTGATACGACCTTTTAAGTTTCTAGAAGTTTGGCCTATATAAGACAAATCGCAATCTCTACCTTGCAACCTGTACACAACATTCCAAGTTTCCATTATCTGAAGTGGTGTCTTAGTTCTCGAATAGAGTTTAGAGAGAGCCTTGACTTGTTTGTTAGCAATTTTAATATTATTATATTGTCTGAAAATGTTTGCAAGTTTATATGTAAGATTATCTATATAAGGTAAAGAGAAATAACTGACAAGTTGTCCATTTTGATCCTCTGTCACTCGGTTAGGCTCAAGAGGAGTATTAGTGATATTAGGTAGTTGTTGTGCTGTAGGTCCCTGGTTATTATTGTTCACTATAGCTGTATGAAACAAAAATCTATTAATGATTTTTTCTGGATAAGAATTGTCAATCAAAATATTTTTTAAAAGAGCCAAAGATTCCTCTACATAATCAGAGTAGAAGACATCTCAAGACATCTTTTTGAATATTCTTCTGAACTAGTCAGTCGCGTAGACTACCCATCTCTTTATTATATATATATATATATATATATATATATATATATATATATATATATATATATATATATATATCTATATATATATATATATATATATATATATATATATATATATATATATATATATATATATATATATATATATATATATATATATATATATACAGTGTTCCATTAAGGAGGAGGTCACCGGCCATATCTCGGAAACTACTGGGTATAGGAAGTCAGGAAAAAAATTCTTAAGACTAAAATGACCATGAGAAAATCCTGGAAATTATTTTTAAGTTCCGCATTTTACCGCAAGAGGCGCAATTGGTAGGGTGAATAATACAATTCAAGTTTTCTCGAAAATTCTCATATTGAGCTATAACTTTAATAACATCGTTAGAAAGCCTGAAAAATTCCGCATAAATTCTCTCTGAGGCTCATTGGCGTACCGACCTTAATAAGGGTGGGGGAGGCTCTTGAATGTCTCAGTATTTAAAACTCTGTATCTTCTAAACGACTTATCCGATTTCAACAAACTTAGGCTTGTTTGAAAGAGAAATGTACGTTTTCAAATACCCAATCCACTGCTACCAAATAGTTACAAATTAAATTGCTAGAGGGCGCAATTTCCAATAATAGTTTTTTTTTTATTTTGTCACGAAAATTTAAATCATACGGTATAATTTTGATGTCATATTCGGAAAGTAGATTAAATTTGCAACAAAAAACGTTTAGACCGCAATTCGATATCTTCATTCGTTTCAGAATTATTGCCGGAAGAATACTTTATAACGCTTTAATTTAAAAAAAAATGCTTGTTTTCATAGTTTCGTGGTAGGTAAAGCATTTCATGAAATTTTTTGTCTAATTTTATGGTTGTTGAGGTTTCTCACTCTGTTTAGTGGCACAGGACCACTTTATAATTA